CTAGCGCAAAGACCTAGCATTTTGCCAGTAACTGCGCCTCCCATCTATTTCCCCCACCCCGCAGCGACTAGCAGTAGTGGCTATGGCCAACACTCTCCCACACACCATACACAACCCACTCACGCTCACAGCCACGTTGGTCATAGACCCTACTGATAGCGATCAGGGGTATCAAGCGCTGCAGATTTTCATGGGGCTTGAACCCACAACCTCATGCATGCCACTTCCGTGCGTAACCAACTAGGCCACTGGAAATTTTGGTGAGGTGTCGACGGAGACCCTCATCAAGAAAAGCCCTGGTCCATGACGACGGGAGAAGTCCTGGGGTGCTCGGGTTCGATCACCGCCAGTCCATCCATCCGAAGCTACATTGGCGAGGCAAAACGTTGCGTTTTCCCGACCCTAGAATCCACAGTGCCGGCGGCCAGTGAAAAAAAAATCTACCGTTGCCCCTTCCCACCGAGCCTTTACAAGGGGTGGACACTGTAGATTCTGGCCCGGGACAGTGCCGCCTGCGGATGGACTGGTGGTTTGTGAATGATGGCCGTGACAACCCAGTCAGATGGGCATGGCGGTCATCGTCAGGGGTTCTATAGCGTCGGTTGGAACGACATTGTGTGGCAAAGGGACTTGCAATGTGTGTAGGATTGAAGCGGCCAGAGAGATGGCAGTGTCAATGTGAGCAAGAGACACCCAGGTTGCGACGAAGGGACTGGAGAAATGGACATATTGATTGATCGCGCCATTGTGGATGGGCATACCTCTCCTCGTCGATAGTGGATGCACGACCATTACTGTGTAAGCTCAAGTTCTCGTTGTTGCCGAGCACCTCTTTTCGATCATCGGGTTCTCTTCCCCGCGCTTGCGTACTGTTGCTCTCACCGGGGCATCCCTTCTGCTCCCCCACGGTCTCCCTTCTGTCGGCTTTTTCCCCCGCTAGGATAGGGTTTAACTCTTCTCTTTTCTCGTGTTTGACGTCATCTTTTCTTCATTGCTTCTCTTGCGTGTGCTGCTATTTCACAACGAATAGCTTTTGGTGCTCTTTCGGATTCGCGAGGGATCAGATCTCCTGCCGTCTTCACCCAATGACAATGCCCGTCATTATCGCTGTATTTGGACTGAGAGTTGTTCCTAATACAGCTCACTCTACTGCCGTCTTCACCCAATGAGAATGCCCGTCATTATCGCTGTATTTGGACTGAGAGTTGTTCCAAATACAGCAATAGGGACCGGACCGGGCGTTCAAGTCGGGTGAAGACGGTAGGCAGGTATTGCTTTTCGCCATTTGGAAGGTATCCACGTGGCAGTAGCACCTCGTCAGTGAATGCACGTGGATTGACAGCAATTGGGGGGAGATGATGCTGTGGAATTGTTGGGCAAAGTGTGAAATCTCCTCCTTGTTCTGGTGCCTCTCCTCCTCCTCCTCCTCCTCCTCCTCCTCCTCCTCCTCGCAGTCCCCTCACTGTCTCTCGCAACCTCTCTTCTCCTCCATCCTCACGCCATACCCCCCCCCCCCCCCCCCCCCCCCCCCCCCCCCCCCCCCCCCCCCCCCCCCCAAATTCCACCCCCCACTGGGCCCTGCTTTCTTCCGCGTGTGCGTCCGCTGTCCGTGAGCTTTCTCTCCTTGATGAATCTACTCAGGGCATACTCACACTAGGACTTTTTTTTACTTACTATTGTGTTTAGGGACGTGACTGCGGTCAGATGCATCCAGCTCTGGCCGTAATTGGAGTCAGATGCATTTTGAGAAGTGTTAGTGTGAGTATGCCCGCTGTCTCTGGAACAGGACTGTTACTGCCATTCCCAAATTAAAGCCGGGTCATAAACAGGCAGATGTAATTTGGCCAGGTGTCGCCTTCCTTTTTTTTTTCTTTTTTTTTGGTGCTACCTTCTCCCCGCGAATACAACGTACGGTCATTATAGCTGTATTTATGGCATCTTTCAGTCTAGATACAGCTATAATGACCGTACGTTGTATTTGGGGAAGAAGGTAGGTATTGCCTGTTCATCTCGTGCCCCGCCAATATTCGCCGAATGGCGCGCAGTTGCAGCACGGTTTCCCGCCAAGCCACCAAGCTGTCCTGAAAGGAGTGGTAGCCAAAATGTGGCGGGAACGAGAGAGGACGCACTTGAATATGTCCCGAAGACGTATCGAGGTCGATTTCCGTGGCAGATACATCTGGAATGACTCTGTTTCTTACTCAAGGAAGACGGTGGGGAGGGTGAAAGGTACCCGCACATGAGAGGCAAAGGAAAAGGGGAGGGCTAGGCGGGGGGGCGCAGAGGGTTGGAGCCAGGGGTCGTCGGGGGGAGAGGGAGTCGCAGGGTACGCGAGCTGAGAGAAATATTCGCCTTGGGGACTCAGCTAAGCGATGGGGGCCGACATTGAAAGTCGGTTGCATGGAGGGAAAACGAGCGTTGGTGCACTGTTATGCGACACTTGCGGTCGTGCGCTGGCGAGTGTTATTTATTCACATGTGTGCGCGTGCGTATGCGTACGTCTGTCAGAGCGGCAGGAGGGATAAAGCCGGGGAGAGAGAGAGAGAGAGAGAGAGAGAGAGAGAGAGAGAGAGAGAGAGAGAGAG